CATCCTCTGCATTAGAATGCTCATACCCTAATAGATTATGCAGGATTCAAGACGAAGTTTGAGGAAGCGTGTTTCAACTAAGCTGCTAGGCTTTTGTTGTTGATTTGTGTAACTAATGTTTGTAAGTAGTCAATCATTCGATAAATATCTTAGTGTGTATTTAACTACGAGCTACTGCGATTCAGATTTTGTGTTGTTAAGTAAATTTGTATTATTTGTAGCTTTATTTCTCATCATATTGTGGTTGTAGGATTTTATTCTCATGACTATGGTATGACTCACACCATGATTTGAGATTATTACTTATTTTTTAATCTGGTCTTGACATAAACCTCGCTTCAACTATGGAATAGTATTAAGACAATAAATTCATCTCAAGGAATCAATCCAAATTTTAGAATTAATTCCAAAATGTATGTCCCGGTCGGGAATTTGGATAACATAAAGAAATAGAGTCACTCACGACCATTGGATAGGAGAGAGTATCATGATATTATAAAACGTATATAGATAGAAGAGAAGAGAGAACCATCAGATGCTAAACTTCAATCAAGTGCCTTAAGGCTGTAATCCCTTCCTATATGGAACAAACATAAAACAATAAGCAAAAGATTAAGAAAAGAAGATGTGGAGTAGATATTCATGAATCCAAAGATGATACGTCTACTAAGTCTAACATCAATTCAAGCACTGGTAGAATGTTGGGGCCCCTTTGATAGCTCTCAATCCCATCGTTGGTGTGATTTGAAGAGTCAAAGCTTAAATCTAGCCCAATCTCTAGGAACCTCAACCTTAGGATGACCAAGTTGGAGAATCAAATTATTGTATTCTTGTTGATGAAGCAAAATATGCATATAATAGAGAGCAAATGACCATTGTTTTAAGATTTGTTGATAAAGATGATTTTGTACGAGAACGTTTTTTTTGAGATTGTGAGGGTTGAAGATACTAGTTCTTCAACACTAAAACAAGAGATATATCGGGTTCTTATTAATTCTGATCTCCAAATTGATAAAATGCGAGGTCAATGATATGATAGGGCTAGCAACATGCGAGGCGCATGGAATGGACTACAAGTATTATTTCTTAGAAATTGCCCATATGCATATTATGTGCATTGTTTTGCTCACAGACTACAATTAGCATTAGTTGCAGCATCAAAGGTTGTTGCTCCTATTTGGTTGCTCTTTTCAACATTGAATTTAATTATCAATCTCACTACTGCTTCTCCCAAGCTATAGGCAACTCAAGCAATTGATACTGCACATATGTTGGATATTGGTGAACATGAGACAGGTAGAGGGGCTACTCAGATTGGTACCTTGCATCGACCTGGATCTACTTGTTGGGGATCTCATTATGATTCTTGTTTGGACTTGATAAATATGTATAATGCATCTTGTACAATTGTTGAGACATGGATTAAGGATGGAGCCAATAACTCCATACGAGGGAAAGCTATTGGTACTTTCAAAGCTATGACATCTTACGAGTTCATTTTCGTCTTGCATTTGTTGGAAAAAATTATGGGACTTATTGATAGCCTTTGTCGAGGATTACAGAATAAATCTCAAGATCTCTTGACTGCCATGAATTTAGTACATAATACAGAAGATATTCTTAAGAAAAATTTCATTTGGATGGATGAGATATTTTCCTAGAAAATGTGGAATCAATTTGCAAAAAAACATGACATTGATATCCCAGATATGATTTATTCAATGATACAATAGATTATCAATTGGAAGAGTTAAATAGTAGATTTAGTGAAGGAACAATGGAACTTCTTATTCTTAGTTCTGCTTTGGACCTTACCAATGATTTTAAAGCATTTAAGATTGATGATAATTGCAAGTTTGCAAATAAATTTTATCTGCTGATTTCACTGTTAAAGACTTGTGTTTATTAACGTGTCAGCTAGAACTTTTTGAGTTTGAAGTACGTCAACAAGATCTTGATATCTTTCGAAATATGTCTACTCTTTCTAATTATGTCAAGTATTAAATAAAACAAACAGAGCAAAGGCATATTATTTGGTTGATAGGTTGGTTCATTTAGTGTTAACTCTTTCGGTTTCTACAACAACTATAGAACGAGCATTTTCAACTATGAAACATGTTAAGACTGTACTTCGCAACAAGATGGAGGTTGAATATCTTGCAAATTCCCTTAATGTCAATATTGAGAAAGAACTTTATGTGAATATTGATTCAGATTCAATAATCAATGACTTTGATTCTCTCAAGGAGCGTAGGGTTCCACTTCATTAGGCCAGCTCTTTTTTTATTTTTTTGCAATGTAATATTTGTTTGATGTTTGACAATTTGTGTTTAATTTAATGTTTATATACATATATATATATATATTAAAGAAAAGTAAGCTTATAATAGAGATCTCATTATATATATATATAAAAAAATTAGTCCACCCCTAAAACAATTCATGGTTCCGTCCTTGCTACAGCCTACGTGGAGATGGGCCCGTTCAAAAGTTAGTATGATGTCAAATATGTTTTTAATACAAACGGAATGACTACCCTAAACCAAGAAAACCATATTCAATCTCTATGATTCCAATGGTATAAAAAAAAAAATTCAACGGCCCAAATTCAAATGCAACGATCAAAATAGTAATATTTTTTTAGTACGATTCATAATCTAAACTATAGGGGAGATGGGGTTTCTTACTCACACACACTACTATAATGCTATGATGGTCTAAACCTCAGACGAGCTAGACCATGTTGGCATCAAAATAATAATATTAATCTAAATCGGATCCAATCTCAAAACTCATCCCAAACTCTATAAATAGCCATCTATTTGTTTAATTTTCCACACAAAATCATTTTCTTCCTCTCTCACATACAGAGGTGCTTCAATCCTTTTCATTGTCCTTTCATTAAGTGAAATAAAATTATGTTTTCGAAATTTAAATTTTTTGAGTTAAAGTGTTCATAAAAATAAATTATAATGGTATAAACAAAAATACAAATTTATAAATAAACCCAATCCTAGACATGTATTTATAAAAAAACCCAAGCACTATTTAAACATAGAAACACACCCAAAATCAACCCCAAAGTCAATTTTTTGGGTGTGTTTATAAATGGGTTTTGAGTGTGTATAATGATGGGTTTTGGGTGTGTTTATATGTTTAAATAGTGCTTGGGTTTTTTTATAATTTCAACCCCCATTTTGGGTGTTTTAGTGAAACTCCCAAACAAAAATTACTCATAAAAAGTTAACCACACAAAAAATTTGAGGTTAAAAATACTCTTAAATAATTAATAAAATTGTGGACTCAAATTTTGAGACTGTTTGTATTAGGGGTGGCATTTTAGATTGAAAAACTGAAAAACTGCAAAAACCAACCGACAATTTACCGTAATTGAACTGCAATCGCGGGAAACCGAACCGCATTTGCAGTATGAAGAACCGAACCGCATTTGTGGTTGCAGTTGCGCTATTTAATTTTCAAAGCTTGCGGTTACCGCAAACAGCGACTATATTTAAAATAAATAAAAAATTGAATTGTATTTTTCCTTTGGGTTGTAACTTTAATTCATTTTGCATTGCATTTTCCTTTTGGTTTGTAACTTTAAAGGATTTGGAATTAGAATGCTTGAGAAGTTGAGATTGTGAATGCTTGAGAAGTTAAACTTTAATTAGAATGCTTGGAATTGTAGTTTTAATTGTGAATGCTTGAGAAGTTGAGTAGGTTGTGAATTTATATATGTTTGAGAAGTTGAGGTTGCGAATTTATTTATTTAGGTTGTGAATTTATATTTTTGGGTTAAAGTATGCTTGAACTCAAAAGGCTTCAAAAGAAGCATCAAAATTAGGCTTAAAATGTGGAAGATTGGATTTTTATGACACAAAAATAACTTCTTGTTTTAAACTGCTAATTCACGGTAACCGACCGTTTTTTGCGGTTTACTGCACTGCAAAACGCGGTCGGTTTGTAGTTTCAAAAATCACCATACCGCAAATAGTCGGTCGGTTTGTGGTTTGAGCAAAAATTCGCTTACCGAACCGCAATCACCTCTAGTTTGTATAATATTTGTATTTTGAAAGAGAATTTTCGGTTTAGCCTCCATAAACATTGAAAATGGTCTTTGATTAAAAAAAAAACATCGAAAATGGTCTTTGATTAAAAAAAACATTGGAAATGGTCCGACAATAAAATTAAAATTTTCAAAATTATAGAGCACTTTACGATAAACCCTAAACCCTTCGACCGATCCATGCCCTTGACCAAAAAAATGAACAAAAGTAAAGTGAATAAATAATCTCGACAGATACTCTACAACTATATGATTCAGTTGCAACTTCACCGCTACACAGAAACGAACCTTCAGAGTCCTCTCTCTCTCTCTCTCTCTCTCTCTGTCCCTTTCTCAGTCTGTACCTCTCCCTCCCTCCCTCACTAGCTCATGGCAGAGGATATGGATTCTGATACATGCGTCGGATTCAAACGAACAATCAAAGAGATCCAAGAAACCTAAACTCTCACACAACGCTCTAACTCTCCATCTGCTGCAATTCCAGAACAAGGTAGCCACTCGTCTGAGATCGTTTCTCCGCTGAAACAAGACTCACATTTCACCGACAAGAGTCCTCCTTGTTCGGTCTCCGATTCCTCTAAGAAGGTCAAGCTTTCACCTTACGGCCAAGTCTCTGAAACCCATCTTGAAGAAATTCAAGAAATGCGCAATTATGTGAGTGGAAAGGCCGAAGCTTGCGGTTTAATTTCTGGCTTAACTGTGTCTGATGGAGTTGCTCAAGATTTTATGGAAATTTGTGAAATGGGTCTTGTTTCTAATAGCGAATTTGTGAAAACTGAGACTGAACAGACCCCGGATGATGAGAAAGAAAGGGTTGTTTCGGATTTGGTTGACAAGAAAGGTGAAGGTTCTGTGATAAGTGAACTGGGTTTTGCTGATATCGAAAAGTTAATGCAAGAGACGAAGTCTGTTACTGAATTGGATTGCAAGGAAGGTGTGGATGCTTCTCTGTCTACTTCTGTTGAAAACAGAGTGGTTTTTGTTGGAAAAGAAGCGGAATCTCAGAGTTCCTTGGAACTGAAAAAGAAGCAATTACTGGAGGAAGTTGAAGCCATTCTTGTGCCTGCAGAAAAGACCCTTGTGCAAAGTGGTACTGATGGGTCTCTCAGTTCTTTCAAGATTGAAGTAATTGATGATACTGCAATGATATCATTGCTTGGCAATGGCTGTGGAAAGGAGTTGGGTTTTCTGGGTCCTGCTAAATGTGTTGCACAGGGGAATGGAAACAAGAACGCAAAAAAAGAAATGAATGGGAAAAAAAAGGCAAGAACCTCAGGAAGAAAGAAAAAAGTGGCTAATCATCTGGTTGAAGCTCATAGCGTGAGTTTAAAGAAAGGGAAAGGAGCCAAGATCTTTTACTCGAGGATGGAGTTGGAGGCCATGAGGTATGTGAACGTGGTTGAACAAAAGAAACTGTGGAAAGATATATACCGTGGACTTGGGCCAGTCGTGGCCAAGGAGTATGAAAATCTGGCAAGTGTTAAGCATCAGAAGAACATCCACAATAACTTTGAACCTCACAAACGCTTTGAGAAGATGGAAGTGCCACCTGGTATTCTTGGTAAGTACATTTTTTTATATAATTATTTTCTTTATACATTTTATGGCTAAATCTTATTAGAACTCAGTTGGATGATGAAAAGATGATGTATGAAACTTATATGTTCTAGTAATTGTAATTTTTTATTTATAAATTTGTATAATTTTTATTAGTATGGAGAGCGGTATTTAAATTAATTTCTTGCAACTTATATCTGCTAGTAATTGTAATTTCTATGAGTGAATTGTTTTTAGTCTGGAGATGTGTGTAAAATAATTTGTGGCACCTTATATTTGCTAGTGATTTAGAACTCAATGAACTCCCAGCTTGGTCGTCAAAGAATTGCTCTATCTTTTTCTTTTTAAATTCCTTCTATTGTAATGCATAGCATTCTTAATGTATGAAATAGAAGAGTCTTTCAGAATTAGCTTTTGTAGCATTATTAATTTTTATGCAATTCTTCTTTCTAATGAAAAGATCCTTCTATTATAGCATAGCATTCTAAATGTGTGCGAACCACTGTGACAAAGTGTCCATCATAATAGTTTTACAGAACCAGTTCTCTAAACCTCTAGACAACATGATAGAATACTGCTTAAATGACATTTATTTGGTTAGGATAAAGTGCTTATGACTTAATATCCCAGGTTGTGCCCGGGACTCTATAGTAGTTTTGGCTGTTGTCATTGTCAGCATTAAAAGGTTGTTTGGATATTCCCTTACTTTTGCTTCGGATTTGTCAATGTAATGATAGAGGTTGAACAAACTCACCTACTTTAATGGTGAATAGCCGTTCTGTTTTGTCTTGGTCAAGTTTAGTGGGCGCAGAGGCAATAAATTGCCAATGGACCTTTTTCACAAACATCATCTTTTTTTTCTTTTGCCATCATCTTTGCTGAACCATATCTGGTTCCTGCCCCCCTCCCCTTCTATTATAGCCTTAAGTAGCTAGTCTTTGTTCTTGCATTATCTAACCAGTAAATAAGTGGTGTCATTGTTTCTTTGATTACTCAAATAAGTGATATCGTAACCGAATTCCCCTCTCTCACTCTTTCTACTTTGCTAATGAAAACACTCGTCTTTGTTGCCTACTGCCTCATTTAAAGTAGTTTATCAGGTACCTTATTGTTCTATCTCCACATCACTTTGACAACGAAGCCTGCATTGCCATTCAAGTATATGCATCGTGGCTTTCATAATGTGACATGTCCAGTATTTTGTCCATTCTATTTCTGACACTCAAAATTCCAGATTATTTGATTTTCGGCACTTAATTTAGACTTATTTTCTTCAGCATTTGAAAATGCTTTGTGGTTGTTTGGATCTGGTGACAATATTTTATCTCTCCTTTTTTTCTTTTGCATTTACTTTAGGCTGTTGTCATTTTGAAATCTATCATTTTCTCAAAGTACATCTCCTATGTTTCTTTTTCTACATTAACTCGATTTCTTAAAGATCAAAGGCATAAGATTTTAAATCTTTGTCTTTCTGTTCATTGTTGCACTCATAGTCCTTTACTTTCCGAAGTGCAGCTTTTAACCAGTTTCACAGACTTTCTTCCAATCGTGTAATCCATTTGTGGACATTTTTGAATTCTCTTCATAAGTCTTTTCTCTCGTTGTTCTTAGCTCTGATTGTGTCAATTTGATGGGTTCAATTTCTGTTGTGCACAGGTGTGGTTGCTTCAAGGGGAAGATGGAATCAAATGAATATCTTTGTGCATTGAAGAATGGCCTAACACAATCTGCAAAAGACCCAATGTCCAACGTTCTCGACATGTGTTTCTTCTTCTGTGTACTTAGGTCCTTGATAGGGTTGTCTTGTGTACTACTTGTATACAGTCCTTGTACGTGGAAATTCTTGCTTTTGGTTTCTAGTTTGTGAAACATGCTTAGTCATAAAGATGTTGGTACATACATTCTTCCTGTAGATGAACAGTAATAAAAATGATATTCCCATGTAAATTGTAGTTGTTTTGACTGCGCACTTGAATGAAAGGAGTTTCTTTAACCTGTTTACCTTTACTTCTATGGATGTCAATAAAAAACACATTACCTTTTTTTTTTTTTTTTTTTTTTTTTTTTTTTTTTTTTTTTTTTTTTTTTTTTTTTTTTTTTTTTTTTTGTTCAGATCAAATCTGTTGTTTCTACATTTGTGTGATATTGCTAAGATTTTTGTGATTACTTTCAGGGGAAGCATTTTCAGAAAATGTGGATATTGAATTACAAAAGTTGGTGAATAATCAAACCCAAGATGCAAGTCCCCTGGACCCTTTCTGCAGTTACAGTGCCACTGATGAAAATGGCTACCCATTTCCAGAAAAAGAGTGTAGTGAAGATGATGACAGTGATGAAGATTATGCTAGCATTCAGAGACCTGCCTTTGTGGTTGAAGGAGAACCCAACTTTGATTCTGGTTCACCAGAAGATGGACTTGAATATCTTAGGCGTGTCAGGTATAATTATTTGGTCTTGTCTATACCATCCCCTTCCCCTCAGTATCTGATTGATAATGCTAACTGCCTGCAGTATGTAGGCTATAACATGGTGGCCTTCTTCATGGTATATAGGCCATGGGTTAAATGTTGGTTCTCGAGGGTGATTGGTTGCGTGGGATGACCAGTTGTTATAACCATGACTATTGTCGGAACAAATTTCTTAATTACTGAAGTAGATCCTACATTATTGTGACACGGGGAGTTTTCTTGGTATGCAAAAGATGCAAAATCAGAGGATCAGATTCCTTGCTGTATGCCTAGTAGAAACCTTATTTTGGAATTCCTTCTTTTATAGCAAGAATCAGATTCCTTGCTCTACATAATGCTTTTGAAACCTTCTTTTGAGACATGAATGAATTTAGAGAATTTCCAGCGAGCATATGCTTCTCCCTAGGATTGTGTGATGCAACCTAACCTTAGGTATGGTGCCTAAGGCCTCTAGGATTGATTGCTAGAACCATACTAGTGTCATGATAGCAGTTGTATCATTTCCGCACTTCCTTCATTCCTTTCTTTAACTGCCAACAATTTGCATCAACCACAAGGACTTATTCACTCAAACAAGATTTTTTCTACTTATCATTCTTGCTTGTCCTGCATCATATTGATTTACTCATTATGGTTTATCTATTTATTTATTCCTTCTTTTCTGCGTAATTCTTCATTGATGCGTGAAAGTAGAATTTGTCGTTGTTTCATCTCATGGTCTGTACATCCTTGGCGTAAGGGATTACATCTTTCAGGGCTAATACCATATTCATTATTATTTTTTCTGTATATTTTAGAACATAAAAGGACTGAGTTGACCCACATCTTAGAAAAGCATAAGATTTTAAATTTATTTATTTTTATATTTTTTATTTATAAGAAACATAGATTTTCATTGAAATGAAAAGGAGATCACAACACAGGGGACAAGGTGTTCCATAAACTACACCCAACTAAAGAACAAAACAGAAAACCATTGAAAACAGAACAGAAGAACAAACTAATATACAACAGTGCTCCAATTAGAAAAACAAAAACAGCATGAAAGGACCAATCCTTCAAATCTGAGGAAACTGAACACATAAGCATTTCCAGAAATGAACACTGTTCCATGAATGATCAATATCCTTCCCCCTAGCAGCCTTAAGAATTCTCCCATTTCTCTCTATCGAAAACAACCCAAAATATTGTCAGCACATCACATCTTCCTAGCACTTTTCCTCTCTCCATAAAACTTAGTCTACTCATAATGTAATGCATCAAGATTCTGGGATCCACGAACTCAATCTGGACTCCCTAAACACCCTTATCCTCAATGAATGCACAACTGGACAATGGAGCGTTAAATGGTTCAGACATTCAGCATCTCTTTTGCACATTAGTACACACCATTAGGACAAAGATTACAGTAAATTTTCCTCTTCTGCACCATGTAGAAAAAGCTTAAGATTACAACAGTTGTACACTAATAAAAGATTATCATGGTATTACAACATCGACAAGTTTAAGATTACAATAGTTGTAGAAAAGCTTCAAATCCCTGCAACTACTATCTTCCGGTTTAAGATTACATAAGAATATGATGGGGAACTTCGTAATTTTGCCTGATTTTGAATTCTGCACCAGTTATTTTGCAATGACTTGTCTATCTATTATGTCGCTCTTGGTTGAGGTATTTGACCTTGATGTGCAAGAAAAGTCAACGGCCATTTGAGGGCCCTAAGAGCTAGATATCACTCTAATGAGCTTCTAAGTTTGGGTGGAAGGCTCAGGTTTACTTTTTTCTTGTCACTACTTACGGTACATTTATTTATGTAATTTTACTTTTACATTTTTGAAAGGTAATGTTCTGTGGGGTGTGAGCAAGAATTTTTGAAATACACCAGTCGTAAGATTGAGTATAATATAGAAACTAATTCGTATACGACTGCATGAGAAGGAATGATAACTTTATGTCTGAAAATTAAAGTCCTAAAATGCATCTTTAGATATTGGCCAAGGGAAAAAAAAAAGCTTCTTGGACTAGGCTAAATTGGGTTTTCATGCCATTTGGCAATCAGTGTAACATTTGGAGAATCAGGCTAGCAACTCAGGGATGATGTATTTATGGGGGGTCTCTTGAGTTTCCTTGGGAGAATTGGAAGCCTCAAGGAATGTTTGTGAATATTGCTTACTTCTTGTAGGAGTGCCCATGCCCATCTTGCAATGCTTGTGAGCAGAACGCTTGCTGGAATTTAAGGCACAATATGGAATGGATCAATAATGCATTAATGCCTACATTAGTTTGTTATTTGGATTATTGATTGACAAGATGCACCAGGCTTGATGATAATCTGAGATTGTAGAAAAAGAGGATAGAGGAGATAAGTGTGGTAGGCTTGGCTACGGTACTTGTCTGAAATTTTTCTTGGGTGTATTGGTTGCTCTCTTTACAGAGCTGATTTGTAATAGTGAAATTTCTGGCGTGTCTAGCTTTCTAGCCACCACAAAATGTGGGATATCACATGCACTCGAATAGAAAAGGCTGCACGTTCTGCTGAGTCAATATATAATATCTCATAGAGATATGCATTTTGGAGAAAGATAAGGTCTAGAAGGCTGTCTCCCAGATGCACGTATCTTATTTTTGGTTGATATGATCATTATCATTTGAAATGAGGCTGTTGCTTTGCAACCCATATATCTGGCACATATTAGTCTAATATTTATGTCAAAGAGATAAAGGTAATCTTGAGAGTTGCACAGATCTCACGATTGGTCTCCATCTTATGCATGTCTGCGTGGTTGAGAAAGAGAGGTGTGTGCGCTTGTGCTTGTATGCATGAGATAGAAGTCAATAATTATTTCTGTAGTATACTCTATATATGACCTTATTACCTGGGCAATCCTATAAAAAAGTAATTTAAATATGGTTGTGAATGAATGAATACTTTTAACAAAGTGAGAAAGCCACCATGTGAATGGGTTGCACCAGGAGATCTTAGCAAAACATTAAGAACATAAATATTTGGACCGCTAAGGGGGGATTAAATGTAAAAGTCAGTATCACCTATTGGCTAAAGCATTTGAAAACGGTGTACATCTTTTATTACTGATTGCCAACTGAACTTTAGTTGGTGATGTGCCCCACTAAAAGCTTGTTCAGAAAATTTATGAACTGCCAGCTGTCATGAATTGTGTAAGGGTCAAAGTTAAGATGTCATATATTGTCTATTTGTTGAGCAAATTCATTGAAGCGACAATTAAACCATAGAGAAGTCTCTATAAACTGAAACATTGACCTATTTGAAAGATCACTTGATGCAGATGAAACCACTGACCTTTGTATTTAATCAAGTAATGAAACCCAGAGGAGTTCTTAACTGTCCTGATGTTAGTTATTGATATATTATTTTTGTTCTCATTAATATTCAAGAGATAAGACTATCTTAGGTATTAATAGGAACCTAGGAGATAGGACCTAATATGTTGAAACATTTTGCCCATCAATTAGATAAAGCTGTATGTTATGATGCCAATATCGTCCTGGTTTATGAGGGGCACACTGTTAGAGAGAGTAAAAGATTGGGGAATTCATCCATCAGATCCAGTTCTCTACTTTTGTTCTCATCTGGCTAAATCATGTATGAATTTCTCTCTCTCTCTCTCTCCAAACCTTAATGATTTCCTGTTCTTGAAAAGTTGTATGAAGCTTGAAGCTTTTTGCTAGTTCTCATTTGCCTTAGAACAATGTATAAGGGAGTGGCTTAGGTAGTCATGCAGTAATATCCTGAGTAAGTTTGAAGTTGATATAGCATTGTTCTAATCGTATTTATAATTTAGGTGGGAAGCTGCTTGAATTCCAAAAGTGAGAGTAGCCAAGCTTGATAGAAGTAAATTTAACATAGAGCAGAGTGATTATATGCCCAAGATTCCTGAGATTGCCTAGTGTCCAGAACAGTTGCTGCCACTGAAACAGTGGGAGGATGCATTTCTTGCTGAATTTTCAGAGCTAAGGCTGGTATGTTCTCATCCTGATTATTCTTTGCCACTCTTTTGTTTTTTCAATATTCTTTTCCAACATTAAGCGCCGTTTTTCCTATTATATAGAACACTTTAATAAACTAGGGATCTTAAGGCGGAAAGGTAATACATTTGATAAAAGGAGAGCTGACTTCATTTTCTGACTTCTACTCTGATCTTAATCTCAGGCTGTCTCATTTTGAGGGTTATAATGCAAGCACGTCTCAAGATCCCCAATCAAAAAATCTTCTTCATGACTCCCATCAGCTACCTGGAAGTATTGTTTTTGAAAAATTTGCTAATGTTAATTCCAAGGAAATTGACATCCACTGGCCTCATGACTGTTGCATTCTTAGGAGCTCCATTGATCAGCTTTCCTTGTCGACTACTGAAGCCAGTAATGCCTCTCTGCCTGCTGAGAACTTCAGTCCTAAGTCTCATGTGAGCCAAAGTTCCAGCGACTCACCTTTGTTGTTGGTGATCTTGCGAATGGACTCTGTAGCTCGAGTGTCGATGTTGAGAAAACGCATAAATGCGATAGAGGCCATGATCACTCTGTCAAGGAATGACTGTCTCTGGCTATTTTCTCTGTGTGCAGTAGTTGATACTCCACTAGATGCCGATACTAGTGCTTCCCTTAGGAGTCTGCTAAGAAGGTGCGCTGCCTTGCAAGCTGCAAAGTATGTACTCGACGACGAGGTAGTAATGCTGAATATTCTTGCCACAATTTCAGGTAGATATTTTGGGCAGTCAGAAAACTGAAGCTTTCTAATATATTACATCTCTTCTTGAAGAAAGGCTCAGGTATTATTTTGTTGGGAGTTTCACTAAAACACCCAAAATGGGGGTTGAAATTATAAAAAAACCCAAGCACTATTTAAACATATAAACACACCCAAAACCCATCATTACACACACTCAAAACCCATTTATAAACACACCCAAAAAGTTGACTTTGAGGTTGATTTTGGGTGTGTTTCTATGTTTAAATAGTGCTTGAGTTTTTTTATAAATACATGTCTAGGATTGGGTTTATTTATAAATTTGTATATTTGGTTTCGGGTACGGCTTATGTCTTATCTATACAAATCGAGTGTCAAAATAAATACTTAAAACTTGTATCGGCATTGCCGTAATTTTGAACGTACCATGATGGTAGTGCTCTATTTTCTGTTATGTGTCTGGAATCACTTTAAAGGAGTGACACCCCAGTATTTTCCAGTGGTTCACCGGAGCTGATTGAACTAGATTGGTTCTGGTTGTGAATATTTGACACTGGCTTCTGGTTTTCAGTGGGTTATTTAACGAGTTTTAACACTTTCAAATGGGTGCTTGTAATTCTGCATGCATGACAGTACTTAATGGGCTCGGGTCGTCATGCGGATGAGTCCCGAGTATCCTTTTTTTTTTTTTTTTTTTTTTTGGTCAGTTGTCCCGAGTATCCAGTTCATTATAACAATTTGTCTGCTGTAGTAATTTAAATCTTTTCGGATATATATATATATATATATTTATATTTTTGGTCAAATATGGTTGACAAAGTTCAAAGCAAATTCATTTATTTCTTTATATATATTTTTTAAGATAATAAAAATGGTTGACAATCATTTTCTCAAGAGATTCATTGACTTGGCTAAATTACATGCTTAATCCATTAAGACATTAATAAATTCACAAGTAATAATTTTCACATAAGAGTTATCCATTTGCAAATGTATTTCAAGAGCACATAGGAATTCGAATTCTGAATATATATATGTCATTAGTTGAATTAGGCAAGTCAAGCTACGAACTAATGTTACTCAAAAAAGTAAACAACCAAAATAAATAAATAAATAAATAAAATATTTCAGATCTATCTTTCTACTATTTTCTATCTATTTTTGTCTTATTTTATTTTTATGATTTTCTCTCATTTTTTTCTCTCATAATCAATGGTTCTCGGTGGAACGACGTTGTCAGCCCCTAACTGCTAGGGGACGAGGGATGGCCTTGCCTATCCCTACCAAGCATTCTCTTCTAACTTTCATAAGTTTCTTTTACCTTCCGTTTGGATGTAGGATTGAAAATTATATAGAATTTCTAAAATGACGAAATTTAGATTTCCATCATTTCAATTTCTTGTCATTGAAGATTTTAGTATTTGGATTTATGTATGTTGAATTTTGTAAATGACATTATGGAAATTGTGAAATGACCCCTATTTTGGTGGAAATTAAACTCAGGAATTTGATGCCCCAATTTTCACTATTTTTTCCACTTGTTATTTATTAAATTCCGTCCTTAAATTGCCAAATAAGGGAATTATCAATTTCTCCTCTTAAATTCTCGACTTTTAGTTAAATTCTGAGTTATTTTCTCTTATTCAAACGAAGGGATTGTAGAAATGTTGGATATAAATTTATTTTTTATTTGAGATGTTCGCATGAAAAAGATGTTTATATTAAATTAAATTGCAAGGAACGCCATGTGCCCTCTAAGAGTTTCCATTTGGTGGGATTTCAACTACCTCATGAGCTATGGAATTCTTCTTTTTGTTTTTTTTTCCCTTCAGACATAGTTCATTAAGTTTTATAACTCTGCTCCACCCTAATCACAGAGCTTATTTGATGCATGGTGGTCTTACAAGCTAAATAAATCGACCAAGTTGAATTAAAGCTTGGTAGATAAGTAGTATTAATTTTCTTCTAATAACAAAGTAACATAATCTTATATTTCTGCACTCGTTCATGTTTTCGTGATGTACGTACATGTTCTTCATTTTTACCTTTAGGGTATGTGCATTATATAGTTTCAAGTTTTTTATTTTTATTTTGTTCATGTGAGTTATGAATTATTTTGAATGCTGTTATTTTCACCAATTTATCCTATTTTCCCACTCATCTTATATTTAAAATTTTAAAAATAAATTACCTTTTTGTAAAATGACTTCTAATGACCTAGGAAAAAAACTTTTTAAAAGCATTTTAAATAAATAAAATTCAGTAAAATTATAATAAAATAATTTTTTTTAAAAACAAAAACTCTCTCTCTCTCCTCTCTCCCTCCTTCACGACATGTTGGCTTCTTCCTTAGAGGTCTTTCATCCTCGGTGCTAGAAGCCACTGCCACCGCAACACCAAAAACAAGAAGCCCAGATGAAAAGGGTTCTCTCATTTCACAACTTAGTTGCGTTTTGAATAGATTAGAGTTGTTTTGGGGCGGCGATGAAGCACTTGGACTCCATTGTTTAAGCAAGCTGACTCCTTTGCTTTGGCAAAGTCAACAAATGAAATTCCACAATTTTAACATCGTCCCTGCCCTTATACCCACCCACCCTCCTTGCAATTTCTCACCACACCCAGCCCCCTCCGCAATCTCTATGTATCCATTCTAGATCCCCATCCTCCCTCAAATTTGGGTTTCTGCCAAAAAAAAAGAAAAAAAAAAAGAAATGAAGACATAATTATCATCTTCACATATTTTTTTGTATAAGGAGTTTGTAAAACAATAAAATTAATTAAAAATATAGAACATGGGTGGGGTTGAAGGTGTAGAAATCTGTAGGGTTCTTGCCACCGGGGGAGGAATTGGGTGAAAAAATAAGGTGGGTGGGAAAATAGGACAAGGGAGTAGAAATAGCAGCACTCATTATTTTAACAAGAAATGTTCAAAATTCAAATTGAAAATTTGGGAGTAAAAATGCACCAAATAAAACATTTTTAATTGGTTTTCATTATTTAGCTTCAAGGGTAAAATAGTCATAAAAACTAAGTAATAAATGAAAATTGAGTTTTTATTCAATAACTAGAGTAATACGAGCGACTTTCCCAACATTTTTTTTTTGCCCACATTGGAAACAAATTCCTGAAATATTCACCAAACAATAACCGACCAAAATCAATGATTTTGGCTCCAGAAATTAAAATCTCAAGGTCACTCATTGTTTTGAAGTTATCTTCAACATCCACATGTTTCTTCATCTCTTCGAGGGCAAGCCTAGCAGCTTTTCTATCCCTCTGCCGCTGCTTCTTGATGAAGTCATTGGCTCTTAAAAATTCTGCTTCTGCTGCTCCAAGCCTTGCATTCTTGGCATCAGTGGTAATTGTTGTAGTGTAGAGAACATGATGTTCTGCTTTAAGGATGGTGTTTGTTGTAGGAGTTGCCGAACATTTTCTCAAGATATTCATTGATTTGCCTGCGATAACATGCATAAATATATTTTATTACATGCTTAATCCATTAAGACATTAATTAATCAATTCATAAGTAATAATTTTCATATAAGAGTTATCCACTTGTAATCCATTAAGACATTCATCAATTCATAAGTAAAAATTTAAATAAATTGTGGGTTACAAGGTTCTAGTTCAATTGTCTGTTGTTGAATGGCCAAGAGCCACCACTGTAGAATGGTATATGGATGACCGAGTCGTTTGTTTAGTTTTATTTCCTTTTCATTTTTAGTTCTTTACTTTTAGGATCCTATCAAATTAAAGCATCTGAGCTGTTAAATTGAATTTGATGAATTAAATGGTAATTTGACATTTTGTAAAAATTTTAACTCCACCTGAAATATCAAATCTCATACTTTTTTTTTTTCATACTATTTAAAAAATATATATAATGATTCTTATTTTTAAAACATTTAAAAATATGTTTTTTAAGATACTATATTTCAATACACATAAAAAAATACTCTATGAGAAAAACCCTGAAGGAAAAGAAGTCTCAGCCGCCACCTCCTTTGAGGCTACATTCTCCCCTCTCCTTTCAACCATTCTTCTCTCCTTTCCTCCATTGTTCTTCATTGCCTTGGTGAACCGCCCAAACCATGTACGTGGTGATTGTTTCAGTCTATATAATGCCTTTCATAATTTGCATACTGTTCTAGTTTGAGTAGTATTATATCCAAGAGGAATGTCCATATATACTTCCTCTGTGAGTTTTCCATGTAGGAAAATATTTTTTACATCAAACTGGTGTAGTGGCTATTCCAAATTAGTTGCGAGGGACAGTAAGACTCTGATTATGTTCAATTTTGCAACTAGTGCGAAGGTTTTATCATAATCTACACCATAAGTTTGTGTGTACCTTTTCGCTACAAGTCTTGTATCGCTCAATAGATCCATCAGCTTTGTGTTTTATGGTAAACACTCATCTACATCCGACAGTTCTTTTTCCTTGTGGTAAAGTTTCCAATGTCGAAGTCTGATTCTTCTCAAGAGCTTTCATCTCTTCCTTTATAGCTTGAACCCACTTATGATCCTTCAATGCTTTAGCAACCTTGGTTGGGATATGAATAGCAGACAACTGATGCACAAAGGCCTTGAGTAGTTCAGACAGCTTCTCGGTTGATACATGATTTGCAATTGGATACTTTGATGTCTTGCCAATATTAGGTGAATAACTGTTTGGTAGCTTCCCACGATTCTACCTGAAAGGTAATTGATATCCAATAGATTTATCCTTTAAATTCACAAGTGTAGTATGTAACATCCCACATCGACAAATAGAGAGGAGGTGATGTGCCTTATATGTGTATGCCCACCTTCATCTAACACGAGCCCTTTTGGGAGCTCACTGGCTTCGGAGTCATGGGAACTCCGAAGTTAAGCGAGTTAGGGCTAGAGCAATTTCAGGATGGATAACCCACTGAGAAGTTACTTGTGAGTTCCCAGAAACAAAACCGTGAGGGCAGAGGGGCCTAAAGCGGACAATATTGTGCTACGGCGGAGCCGATCCCGAGATGTGACATAGTAGGAGTAGTTACCTTAAGGATATTCTCAAGAGATTGGTTCGTTGTCATTGTAGAGTTAGAGGGGGTCTTCATCTCATCGTTCTGTATGGT